CTGAAATTGAGAAAATGAACCCCCCTCCCTCCAAATTGCTATACATTTCAAATTAAGGGGCTCTCAGGCAACAAAAATTATGGGAGCAGGAAATAACAGTTCTTCAATAGGGAAGAAAATAAAAGGATCAAATAAACAATGCAGTGCAGTAGAACAACACTGACAGAGTCAGAACCCAGCCTGACACCCTGTGGGTCAGGGTGTTGGCAGCAGTCCCATTGGAATTGTGGCTCAGCCCTCCTGCAGTGTCAGGGCTGGTTCTGCTGGAGCAGGATCCTGTAGAGAAGGATGGATTCTTCCTCTGAATATCCAGTGGAAGGAGAGGCAGCTGCTGTTCCTCTGGGGAATCCAGTGGAGAAGCCATGCTGGTGTTCCAGAATCTCCAGATTGTATCCAGGTAGGAATGCTTGGCTCCTCCCTCTGGGCTCACACCTCCCAATGGGATGCTGTAGTTCTTATCAGCCACACAGTGACATTCAATAGCTGTTATCAGCAGATGTTCCCTCCCAAGGGAGGTGTGAATGTGGTCACTCAAAGAGAGAGATAAGGCAAACTGTCCGCTTGACAAAAGATAATCTGCCATACAGCTGGTAATAGAAAACATCTTGCCTTGCAATCTGGAATAATAAGCTATTCCCCATCAGTGATCAGTATCGTATCGTCTCCTGATCAGCACCTGGGACAGAGAGCTCTGCACCTTGTGCTGCCAGGGCAGGGAGCAGGGCTCAGGGGAGCAGCACTGCTCTTGCCCCTGCTGCATCCCTCCCTGCATTCCAGCTGCTCTCACAAGGCTCTTCCCTACGGCACCCCTGGGTTTGGAAAATTTAGGAAGATTCACGCTCTTCCAGGTCGCTGCCTTTTTGTTGGGTTTGGTTGAGATTGAGCAGTGAGTTGAGAAAACTGCAGGGAGGTAGACAGGGATAATAAACACAATAAACCCCAGCCCTGTGCAGTCCTGACCTCAGGCAGGACCCTCTCTGCCTCTTGCAGGATGTTTCCAAGGGAATGGAGATGAATCCCCTTTGCCAGAACCAAGGAAGCCCAAAGCACAGACTGCAGTTCTTCAGGGCTGTTCTCATTTAGAGCAGCTCCCCACAAAGCTGCCCTGAATTTGCCATCTAAAGCCCCCAGCACCCTGAGCTGGAAGTGCTTGGTGCACATGCTCACAAAGTCAATATTTGCTCAGCTCACCGTGCCTGGCTGTCTCCGCAGGATCTCGTTTGCTTTGCCCACATGGAACAGGGTGGCCAAGGGTGCCAATGCCTAAAAATAACACCTCCATTAGCTGCCAGCCCTGGCACCTCCTCCTTGTGGAATCATGTCCCAGGGGAACAGGGCTGCTGCAATCATGTTGTCTCTTTGCCTCTTGGCCCCATAAATCACTTCCAGATCTGCTGGCCGCTCTCAGAGGGATGTGGCAGCAGGGTGGACATCCCAAAGCAGCTGAGCTGTTGCAATCTCAGCAAAACTACTTAATAGAGTAGAGTGGAAGAGAGAGAGTCAGTCGTAACCCCGTGTGGGAAGGGCTCAGATCCTGTGCCAGAACTCAGTCAGTGAGCAGCAGAGGAGCCAGCAGGGCCAGGGGAGATGCACAGCCTGACTGCAGCAGCTTTGCTCACCACCAGTTGTTGCTTTGATTTTTTAAGATTTTCTAAGTCTTCTGATGTTAACATTCTTGTAGCAAACTTTCTCACACACTTTCTGTAAATAACTCATTGTTTTGCATTCCTTTATAGAGAAAGAGAAAGTTGATGTACTGTTGGTTTGTCCAGTGTCATTGGAGAGGTGGCACTGTCACCCTCCAGTCCATTGTCGCTTTTGGAAAACTATAAATGTTGGAGTCAGAAAATAAACTGCCCTTTTTTCTTCACCTTGAGAACAGCTGCGTGAGCTTGTGTTCTTTCGTGTTCTATAGTGACAATCAGTGTCTTTGTAAAAGGTCATAACCCATGAGCAGGACACAGACCCGGGTGTTGCTCTAGGACACAAAATAAAACAACATGACACTGGGCTCTCCAAGGTAAAAAAGAGGGAAGGTTTAATTCTGACTCCAACATTTATAGATTTCCAATAGTGACAGTGAATTGGAGGGTGACAGTGCCACCTCTCCAATGACACTGGACGAACTAACAGTCCATCAAATTTCTTCTCCTCCATAAAAGAATGCAAAACAATGAGTTATTTACAGAAGGTGTGTGATGAAATTTGTTACAAGAATGTCAACATCAGAAGGCTTAGAAGAACTTAAAAAATCAGGGTGACAGCCAGGCACTGTGGGCTCCCAGGCCATGGGGAGATGACACATCCACAGCATGGGTGGATGGCTCCAAGCTGCACCTGAAGTGATTTAATCCCCAATAACAATATTTAAATGCCTGACAGTTGAAGAACCCTCACACAGCTCCTCTGTCAGTGTGTCAGAGTAATCTTTCCTAAGCTGTAACATTAACCAGATTCTAGATTCCTCCTTTTCAGAGCAGAGTGCCACAGTTAACCCCTGCATGCCATGCATTTATAGCTGGAAGCCATTCTGGAGGCTGGACCTGCTTGGAGACCTAGTAGGGAGCTCACAGCACCCTGGTGCTTCATTGTAGTCAAGGAACACCAGTCAGGGTTGTTGTATCTCAGTCCTGTCACCCTTCAGGAGGACTAATCCAGGGGCTGTGTCTTGCAGCAAGAACCTGCAGTCCCATCTCTGGATGGGTGGGAGCGTCCTGAGGCAGAGGCAGCTGAGCAAAAATGGAAACATGGAAAGATGGAAATGGGTCCTGGAGATGCTGGTCACCAGCTGGGAAATGTGGAAAGAGGGAAATGGGTCCTGGAGATGCTGGTCACCAGCTGGGAAATGTGGAAAGATGGAAATGGGTCCTGGAGATGCTGGTCACCAGCTGGGAAATGTGGAAAGATGGAAATGGGTCCTGGAGATGCTGGTCACCAGCTGTGGCACTGGGGCTGCAGGGTGAGCACTGACAGGGGGGAAATGAAGGTTCATAGCCCTGTGCCACTCTGCCCTGGTGGGATTCACACATGGTGGAAACTGTCCCCTGCTTCTCCTTTAGGATTGGGACTCTCAGCCCACCTTGGCCTCTTGGTTTAGTCTCCCAGCAGTGGGTGTCCATCACCCACTGCCTCCCTCCCACTGGGATTTGCTCCCTCCCTTGCTGCTGGCACTCCAAACCCTGCAGAGCAGAGCAGAGCAGGGAAAATGCACAAAGATGTCCTCATTCAACAGATGGCTTGAAAAATCCAGGAGGGCTTAGCCCTGTGTAGAAACCACTTGTTTTAAGGATGCTTCATACACAGAACACATGGTTTCCCTTCATCACTTATGTCAAGACTGGAGCTGGGCTAAGAGGTGTCACCCCCCACCACTGCATGCTGCCTCCTCTGAGCTATGTTGAGAACCTCTTCACTCCTCCCTCTCTGCTTTGGTACTTCCCCTTTGATCTGTGTCATCTCAGGTTTATTTTCCAAAGAGAGGGCCTTGTCAAGCAGGCAGGGGCAGAGCCTCTCAGCAGAGCATGTTCACTTGTCAGGCTGCTTCTCCTCCACATCAAGTTATTTCTTTTCCTTTATCTTCCTGCACAGCAGCCAAAGAGGGAATTTCTTCACCCTGGCCCTGGGAGAAATGTGCCAGGGGCCGGCACGGCTTGGGGATCTCATGTTGATGGCTTCACACCCAAGTTTGTTGCACTTTATGGTCCAGAGCATGACACTGGCCTAAGGTGGGCCTTGCTGTGCCAGAATTGGCTTTGTGGCTTACAGAAGGAAATATTAAGCAGAGCACAAAACTGGCCAGTGGGTACCAGGAACCTCTTGTGGTTATAAAACAAGAAAACCAAAATAGCTTTAATGCTTTTCACACTGTGTAGGCTTAAGCATTTTGTAAAACAGCCTTGGTGTTCCCTGAGTGTGGTAAATGAGTTCTTCTGAGTCCTGGAGGGCTCAGTGTGCAAGAGGCTGAGTGTGGCAGGACAGGCAGCCTGAGAGAGCAGCAGTTCAGCATCCCCAGTTGGCTCAGATATCCCCTGTACCCAGAAGTGCTTTGTGCAAGGGGTAGGTGAGGGCAGGAGCTGCTTTTGCCATAACTGTTGAAGGCACCTGTCAATTTTTCCCATCTCATGGGTCTGTCCTGAGCAGTGCTGGGAGCTCAGATGGAGCAGAGATCTCCCAGGTGAGCTGTGCTGACAGAGGCTGCTCTGCCCAGCCTACTCCAGCAGTGCCCAGGACCTCACTGGGTGGGTAACAGTGAATCCCACCCCAACAGCTTCCCTGGCACGCTGATCCTCTCCTTGGGACAATCTGGGAGCTGGGAGTGACACTGTCTGCTGCTAGATTGTCCTGTGAGGTTATATGTGTCACACAGATCATGTCTGAGTTTTATTTCTCTTTAAAGCAAAGCTCTTTTTTAGCATGCAAATAAATACTCTCCTAAAAGGGAAGGCACCATCTGCTCCTAAGCACAAATTTAATTTTCCAAAGGGTTAGGTTTAAATAAGATCCACAGTCTCAGAGTGGTAGCTGGGGGAACCTGTAATGGGGTTTGGCCCTTTTGGCATCCTGCTGGAAGCAGATATTTTAATTTATGGTAGGGAAACACAGTGCCTGCAATGAGAGAGGGGTTCTGGCAGCTCCCAAACTCCCTGCACTTCTGGCAGCTCTGGAGACTCCCAAACTCCCTGTGCTCCTCCAGAGGCCCTGATGGTTAAACAGGTGCTTGCAGGTGGTCTCAGAGCACTGATATGCACACAAAGGATCAGAAGGACATTGTTGTGGGTCCCTCAGCAAGCAGGAACCACAGCTGCAGCCAGGCACCCTCCTGTGCTCAGCTGGGTGAGCAGGAGCCAGGCTGTGCAGCTGGCTGGTTCCACCTGGCAGTGCTGGGAGCACCAGCAGCTCACCAGCTCCACCAGTGCAGGGCCCAGCAGAGCCCTGGGCAGCTCTGGTGCCCATCAGCTGAGCCAGGGGCCCTCACTCTCTCTGTCCCTCTTGCCTTGCAGCCCCTGGTGTTGCTGATGGAGTGGCCTGAAGCCACCAACTTCGCCTGCCTCATCGCAGGCTACTGCCGGCTCCTGGTGGACTCCAAGAAGATGATCCTGTCCAGGGCCCCCAGCCAGCCACCCCCTCCTCAGATTATCAAGGCAGGTACGTTTCAGCCTCTGCTTTCTGTGCCAGCCCCTTGCCCAGCCCCCTGCCCTCCCCTGCAGCATCAGGGAGGGAAAGGCTTTCCCTGACAGCTTCCATTCACCTGGAGAAGCAGCACGCTCCCTCTTTAACCAGAAAGCAAGGAGCCAAGAGACAGGTGCTCATTGTGGGCCAGCCAAAATGACTTGTGGTGTCAGCTCAGCCCCTAAACACTCCCCATGAGCTTTGCTGGCAGCTCCTGGAGCAGCTCCAGGAGGGGCTGTTTGAGGAGGAGCCCTGTGAGGCTGCCAGCCACAAGCTGGGGCTCACAGAGCAGCCTGTGCATTCCCTGGCTGGCATCCTGCTCCACCCGAGTGTGTGAGCTCAGGGGCTGCATTCCTGCTGCCTCTGACACTGCTGCCCCCAGCCTGGGGCTCTGAGCCTCAGGGGCAGCCTGTCACAGTGGTCACAGGGGTTTGCAGGTGAAGGGAGAGACCAGAATGTTGACTCTATGTTCAGAAGGCTTGATTTATTATTTTATGATATATATATATTACATTATAACTATACTAAAAAGAAATAGAAGGAAAGGTTTCTTCATAAGCTAGCTAAGTGAAGAATAGAATAGAAAAGAAAAGAATGATAACAAAAGGCAGCTCTCTCGGACTCTGTCTGAGATAGCTGTCTTGATTGGCCATTAATTATAAACATTCAAGATGGCTCAATCAAAAATCTACCTGTTTCATTCTACAGCAGCAGATAACCATTGTTTACATTCTTTTTCTGAGGCCTCAGCTTCTCAGAAGGGAAAATCCTAAAGAAAGGATTTTTCATAAAAGATGTCTGTGACAGCAGCCCTGTGAGCGTGGCTGCTCTGCTGATTTCCTAAACCAGGAAGGAAACTTGGCTGCCCCAGCTTTTCAGGGGGCAGAAGGCTGGTCTGGACACAGCAGGAGCTTCTGTCCCAGCAGGCACCAATGCTGTCCCTTAGGGATGGATTGCAGGTGTGAGTCACCCTCCAAAAAGAGCAATGATTCTCAAGAGTGATTTCAAACCAGAGCCAACCATAAACCACATGCTGCTGCTCACATCCAATATATTTTGTATAGGAACTATAAAATAGGGGTTTAGTGACTGGAGATGGGCAAAATACCAACCCAAGGTCACTCCCAGACCCCCCAAGTGACACTGCAGCTCCAGAGAGCTGTGATAAGTGCTCAGTTTAGGTCCAGTGTCAAAACTCCCTTCCAAGGATGGGCCTGGCCTGGGGAGGAGTGCAGAGGGTCCCTGGGAAAGCCCTTGGTGCCTTTGAGGAAGGCACCCAGGCATGGATTTGGCACCTGTGGGAGGACACACTCACAAGAGGGATCAGGAAAGCATCTGCAGCAGCCTCAGAATCCAGGACAGGCCTGGCAGGTGATTTTGGTGTAAGTACAAGCAGTTTCCTCTCCTTTCTTCCTCTGTGCCCCTGACTGACAGCTGTCACTGTGCTCTGCCCTGCTTGCCCTATGGAAATGTATTTAATCACATTTTGCTGTGAGCAGAGGGTGTTTGCAGCTGAGCTGGCTTAGCTGCCGTCAGAGTGCTCCTTCCCTGGCTTGTGGGACACAGGGACACGTGGCTGTGGGGAGTCAGAGAGGGGAAGAGCACCCCACACCCAAGGGCTTTTTCAGGAGGCTGGCAGCACCACAATTCCTGGCATCTGGGGATGTCTCAGCACGTGCAGGAGGTTTTTTCCCACATTCTGTGGCAATAGCCAGAATTTTTTTCCTGAGGTTTTGCTTCAGGGTCTTCATCCAGCCCTCTACCAAAGAGTTGTAGGTCTTGCCCTGCTCTTGTCAGTCTCAAATAACCAATCTCAGTAACCCTGCAGGGTGGGAGTGATGTGAGAGGGACTCACAGAGTGGGCAGGACAGCAGTGGGTCTGTGCCAGCCCTCTCTGGGTGCCCTGCTCCATCCTCCTGGGTGCAGTGAGAACCTCTGTGACCCGTGGGGTGGAGCAGGTCCCTTGCAGACCCAGGGCACTCAGCCCAGCCACCCTGCAGGAGGAGTGGGTTTAGGGTGTGCTGGGCAGTCTGCTCACATCCTGCTCTCCTCAGGGCTGCAGGCTGAGCTGTCAGAGCTGGCTGGATCACAGGGAGCAGGGATGCTGATCATTAGCACATCCTTGCAGGAGAAAGCCCCACTGGGAAGAATTAAGTTAGCCCAGACTTCCCAGGCTGCAGGCAGACTGTGCCAGAATCTTAAATGTAAAAATCAAGCCTTGGCCCATGCTTTTACCTAGAAGAGGAGCACATCCATCTTCCCTGAGGCCCATTAGAGCCTCCTGCTGAACAGCAGACATTTTTAGAAATGCACACGCTGTCTGAACGTTGTCAGTGAGATCCATCTCTGCATCTCCCTGAGGAGCCATATGCCACAGCCTTGCCCTCCAGTGTGCCCTGCTGGAGCTACCCAGGTGATTCAGCTCCCTGCCCCTTCTTCTCCCCACTCTCACCCTCAGCCACCATCAGCTCTGTGCCCTTAGCTGCTCTCTCAGCTCCTTGTCAGGCAGTTTTCTCCCTCCTGAGCATGCAGCAGCTGGATTTTGGATTTTTGGGGTTTGGCCCCATTCAGCAGCAGGCCTTGCCTTGGCATGGGCAGCCAGCAAAGCCTCTACCTCAGCCTTTGCCACCCTCCTGAAGCCCACACATGCCCAGCTCTGGCAGCCTTGTGCTCCCTCACCCAGCTGTCATTTCATGGCCAGGCATCAAAGAGATTTTGTTTTTATTGGGATTTTAGCATTGCAGGTGATGAACAGTATAATACAAACATGTGTTTGGGGAGACAAATTGTCCAATTTGTCGAGCTAATGAATTTAATTAGGATTTATTTGATTTAATTTCCCCTTGGTCAGACAGAACCTGCATCCCCTGGCTCTCAGCACAGCTGCACAATCCAACCTGCAATGCAGACAGATTCCCCTCCTGAGGGAAGGACCTCTGGCCAGAAATTCAAGTAGTATTTCAGCCACTTTCCCTGCACAAGGGAACAAGGGGAGACTGTCACTGGGAGATGCTTAACAGCAAGAGCAGCAGGCTCTGTTATAGCCAGCCTGATCCAGTAGCTGTCAGCCTGATAGAAATAGCACATGGATCACAGGCAGTGAGGGACAAGGGGCTGTTCCCGTCACTGGAACACAGCCAAACTGCAGTGGATGTCTCCCCAAAAGGCAATATTACTCCACTTTTAGTAGTCTCCTGATGAACACCACTTGGTGTGGCCAACATTACCCAGAAACGGCAACAATTCCTTCTTGCCATATAACATGTGAGCTGGCAGGCTGGGGCTGGAGGTCCTTGTTGGAGCAGCTGGGCTGCTCCTGCTGCCCTCTGGACACACTGGTGGGTCAGTGATGAGCACCCACATCCCTGTGGCCAGTGCCTGCTGTGCTGGCCAGCCCTCCTCTGCCTCTGTCTACCCAGCAGAGGGATTGAGCTCAGGGACCTGTCCTGGCACCAGGACTGTTTCATGTCCTCATCAAGGACACAGTGGAGTGAGAGCCCCCTCAGCAGGTTTGCAGATGACACCAAGCTGAGTGGTTTGGTTGATAGTCCTGAAGGATGGGTGACATCCACAGGGACTGGATAAGCTCCAGCAGTGGCCCCTGGGAATCCCATGGGGTTCAACAAGGCCAAGTACAAAGGCTGTACCTGGGGCAGAGCAACCCCAGTACTGATCCAGGATGGGGATGGACAGATGGAGAGCAGCCCTGCAGAGGAGGACTCAGGGATGCAGGGGGATGAGAGGCTGGACAGGACCCAGCCATGTGCACTGTCAGCCCAGAAAGCCAGGAGTGTCCTGGGCTGCCCAAACAGCAGCAGGACCAGCAGGTCAGGGGAGGGGATTCTGCCCCTCTGCTCCACTCTGGCCAGACCCCACCTGCAGTGCTGCCTCCAGCTCTGGGCTCCCCAGCACAGCAAGGACATGGAGCTGCTGGAGCGAGTCCAGAGGGAGGCCGTGAAGATGATCAGAGCACTGGAGCACCTCTCCTAGGTGAGAGAGTTGGAGCTTTTAATCTAGAGAAAAGAAGGCTCCAGGGAGGCTTTTTAATAGGACTTGTAGCTACAGGACAAGGGGCATAGGTTTTAAATTGAAAGTAGATCCAGATTAGATCAAAGAGGAAGGGTTTTATGATGAGGGTGATGAGGTGTAGGCACAGGAGCATTCAAGGTTTCCTTGAGTGTTGGACATGGCTCTGAGCAACCTGATCTAGTTGGTGTCCCTGCCATTGGACCAGATGGCCTTGAAATGCCCCTTCCAACTCCTTCCATGGTGCAGGACATTTTTCCTATCTCATTCCTGGCAGCCAGGCCCAGCAGGTTTTCCAAAGGACAGCCAGGTGGGCTGGCTGTGCTGCAGGGAGCGTGGGTGTCCCACTGGAGGGCAGAGAGCACAGGGATGTTTCTCCAGGGTGGGCAGGAGCTTCCCCAGCTGTTTCCCCTCGCTGGGTGCTGCTGCTAACGCTCCCGTTGTGCTTTTGGTTTAGATTACATCAACGCACACAACTTCCAGCGGCCTGCCACGGCAGGGCACGTGGGAAAGAAGGAGAATGGGCTGGTGGGTGGCTCTGCCACTGTCCCTGGAGCAGCCGGGGCTGCTGCCAGCCGGGACTCGGAGCTCATCCGCTTCTGCTACCTGCACATGCGAGAGCAGAGGAAGGAGAGGGAGAGCGCCACGGATATCAATGAAAACCTGATCTTTTTTGAGGAAACTCGTCCCAGGACCAAATCTGACCCCACTTCCAAAAGCTCTGGCCAAGGCTACAACGGGGCAGCCAAGGAGTGCGACCCGGCTGGCCTCGAGCAGGAGAGGCAGGGCAGCAGGGCCAGGGCTCACACCATAGA